GGCACTTTGCCCGATAAAGAAAACCAAGGAAATAGGAAGGAGGAGGAGGAGAAAGGAGGAGGAGAGAAGAAGACGAAGGGAGGAGGAGGAGGAGGAGAAGGATCTGCCGGTTTCGTGATACGTCGACGGAAAAAAAAAAAGATGACGAAGGAGGAGGAGGAGGAGGAGGAGAAAGAGAGTCACACACACACACACACACACACAGAGAGAGAGAGAGAGAGAGAGAGAGAGAGAGAGAGAGAGAGAGAGAGAGAGAGAGAGAGAGACTGACACGTGGCACTTCGCGCAACGGTACCGTATCGACGAGGACAGGGCAGCTTTCCGACGGCGGGCAGCGACGACGGGCAGCGGCGGCGGGCAGTGACGATGGGCATCGACGATGGGCATCTCGGTGAATGTGGGCAGCGACGGGAACCTCTTCGGCGGGCAGCGACGAGACCAATTGGAAGGCCGCCCGAATGAATGTGCAGTCGGCGGAAGAATTTGCGCGGGGGGGCGGGGAGGCTCCCAAGCGTGAAAAAACATCGAAAAAGGCCTCCCGGCCCCCCCGCACAAAAATGCGCTGGGCCCGCCCGGCGTCAAACCGGGGGACCCAACCGGCCGGGCCGCCTGGGACCCCTGCCGGACGGAGGCTGGGCCGCCGGGCGGCCCGGAGTTTAACACAGTGTGGAACTGCAATGCTCTGCTAGCGGCAATGTGTCAGGACCCACTGAAGCAGCAACTGCATAGAAATCATGAACCTGGCCCTAAAAAGATAGATGATACCAACGGGCCCAGCTCAGTTGGTGCACCCGTGAACTGTATTTTCCATGCTTGCTGGCGCCAAGTTACCGGACTGGTTCCCCCCAGAATGTAAAAGGGCTGTGTCCCATGTTAAAAAAATAAAATAAAATAAAAATGAAAAGAAATACAGGGCCCATCTTCGAATCCTGGGGCATGGTCCCACTCGCGAGGGGATAGGATAGAAAAGAGTTTGTGTGGCAGTTGAGTGACCCAAATCCTGCCGTGCAGTACTCGTGATCCCACGGTCAGTATTTTACATGCATTACCCAACAAAGTAAGGAGATCTTTATTCCCCACCTCCTCTCCTTAATACTGGGCATGTCGGTGCAAAGGAAGCTTCCCGCCAAAATCTTTTCAATCCGTTGGGGGTATGGCCAACCCCAAAAGAGGGTGGGATCGGCCATAGGCCCACTGGATAGAAGATTTTCAGTATTTTGCTTGCTGTTGTGCAATTATCTCATTGGGTGGAGCCCTCCTTCAATCACGGAGTATATGGAAGGCGCCATGATCACTGCTGACAGAACTCGAGTTTATTCCAGAAAAATGTGGCAGTTACTTTGTTCACTGTTGTTACAACCACCACCATCAGATCATTTGTGACCTGATGGCTGGGAAGCACTCTGTTGTGATTTCCGGTGGGAGGTCTCTGTTTCTTTTCTTTTCTTTTCTTTTCTTTTTCTTTTTTGTTTGCCTTTCTCCTGTTTTCTCAGCCTCAGAAATTCGTAATGAACCTGTCAGGCTGCCGCCACACACTGGTAAAAGGGCCTTTACGAATCGGATCCCAAATGGATGCCCCAACAGCAAGGGGCCCTGTCGGCCAGAACTTAAATTCACGAGTAGCAACCCAAAAGACAAAGTTCCTGAGGTAAATGTCGCATCCTTAATGAAGTGGAAGGTCATTTTGAAAGGTCGCAACCAGGTCCTGGACGAACAGGTATTGGGCACAATTTTCCAGTCCAGTCATAATCCCATGAGCCAATGAAGTTAGGGTCATGTCTCCTGGAATCCTTAATGTCGCATCCTTAATGAAGTTAGGGTCATGTCTCCTCGACGTCGCATCCTTAATGAAGTTAGGGTCATGTCTCCTCGATGAAAAGTCATGTCTGTTCGGCAATGAGCCAAAGGCCACAGTCCCAGTCCAGTCATAATCCCATGAGTCAGTCCTGATTCAGACCAGGAGTCCAAAAGACAGGCCCAATGGCCCAAGCAGCAGCAGACCATGGGAAAAGATACTGGGACACACACTTTGCAACAATCGGGTTCCTTGCAAAATTTGGTATCAGAGCAGAACTGGTTACTACCACTGGTTGCGCTGGCATGATCAAGGCCGGCGAGAAGGAGAAGGATAAGCTGGCTCGAGTATAGCTGGCGAGAGACGAAGTAAAAGAGAGGCGAAGTGGAGTTGGTTTGGGATAGAGGGGGCAGTTTGCCGAGGAAGAAGGGGCTAAGGAGGAGAAGACTTACCTGCGATTGGAGAGATTGGAGCGAACGTGGAGTCTTCATCAACGGCTACAAAGAAGAGAGGAACCTCCTGACCCACTTACCTCGATGGATTGCAAATCTGTGTGTTGTGTATCTCTTCCCCCTCCTTTCTGGTGGTCGCTGCTGCTGTCTGGACGGAACCTGTGGTCTGGTCCGACCCAACAGATAGGACTAGAGAGTCAACATCTGGTCTGTCGGTAGGTAGGGAAAGAAGGTTGAGTCAGGGAACTGTGTACTGCCACGTCAGAATGTAAGTAGCTGAGAACAGAGAGAATGGTGATAAATTAGATTTGTTTTGAAGTAAGTTTGAATATCTCCCATTTACCTTCTCTAACGGAAGTGACCAGACAGACCATTGAAGGCATAGACCAGCTAGTAACTAAACAGGCAGCAAACAAAGAAAGAAAGAGAGTTCCTACTTTGCATATTGTCTAGGAAAACGTTATATACCTTCTGCATTATTAAATTTCGTTACTCTGAAGCAGCGACATCCAGACTTAAAAGGAAAAAAAAAAAAAAAAAAACAGATCCCATCCACTCAGAGAGCAGATTAGGACCTGGGTAGCTACTTGGTGGGCCAGCGGAGGCCATTCCTGTGCTGACACCCACCATGGATGACTATCCCATGTACGGGATGGTGGCCCTCTCAGTTATGTTGGGCCACTCTTCAGGTTCTTCTTTCCCCTGGGCTTCGGGAGAGCATGTTCCTCCCGCATGATGATGAGATCAGGCAAGATGAAGCCAGGGCTGTCTGCGGCAGAACAGGCAGAGAAACAGAAAGAGAAAGAAATAAAAAAGAAACAGAAAGAAGAAGAGGTAAAGAAAATAAAAGAAGAAAGAGAAAAACTGGAAAAAGAAATGAAGGAGAAAGAAAGAAAGCTACAGGAAGAGTTAAAGGCGGTAGAAGAAGAAGAAGAAGAAGAAGAAGAAGAAGAAGAAGAAGAATAAAAGAAGAAGAAGAAGTTGAACCAGAGAATGGTGGGAGACTGTACAGACGACGGACAGAAAGAGGTGAGACCAGTGAAATTCATGGCATAAGCATAGAGATGGAAGCTATGAACTGGTTGGACC